AAACGAATCCAAATGTTTACGGTTGGATTCGGCAAGCTTCGTGGGTTGGAATTTTTTAAAGATTCGCTGCTTGTATAGGAATGAACGAATCAATCTTAGACAAACAGTGAATTGTAAGAATGAATTAGCACACATAAACGACCAACTTTATGACTGTTGGCCATATTGGGTGATATATTCGATGGATCTGACTGCCTGTTCGAGAGCGTTTGATGTCGAGAATGATTCGATGCTGTGCCAGTCACGGTGCGTTTCTTTGACTGCTTATGACTATCACACATCAACTTCTCCACATTCGATTGCTTAAACAAGTCACTCATTATGTCTCTATCCCGTCAAGTTATAACTGTGACCATAACGATCAAACAAATGCAGTCACACTGTGCATGTGATTTTAAAATATTGAAATTTCCCAGAAATCAACATAATCGAACGGTTTTGAATACGTTGAAGCATTTCCAGCGATGAGCATTATCTATGGTCTCTCTTGCTCAACATTAGCATTTTCATTTATTGAAGCGAATAACTCAAAGAGAACAATGTGACGTACGAACCTGCTGTTTCTGAATTGAATCACGTTGCTTCTGGTGACGTTTCTTCAATTCATCCATATCTTTTTGCAATTTTTTGATCAGTTTTATGAAACATTTGTCCTTTTTCAATTCAGCCACATTGATCATTTCCACCTTAAATAGCGAAATCTTACTTCTCATACAAACGATCACTAAATCAACTAATTGACTATCTAATGAAGAAACGATTCAACTGAAATGTTGACATGCTGCACGATATTTAAGGTCTTCTTGGATGGAACACTATACTGTAAATGCAGCCCTAGTGGAGAAATATGCATGAAAAAATGGTTGATGTGAAGTATAAAAAACACGGAAAAACTTCTGTCACGATTGGATTCTTTGGAAAGATCGATCAATGCACTGATTCGGAGAGCATGATGTGATTCAATGAGGATAATATGTTCAATGAGGATATGCATCGTTCGGGATAATAAGTTTTGAGATGTTTCGGTGTGGAAGAATAAGATCATCAAGGACAAGCAATAAGATAACTGGAAAATTCTAAGGGAAGAAACCTTCTAGACGAAACGTGTAAATATTCGTGATGTGATAACGTCTGATCTGAAGCACTTATTTGCCATATGAGAAACACTGATGAAATGAAAGGGAAATCAATTTCATGGAAAAAGGATGGCTACTGGATTTGTATGGGGAAATCG